TTTCTTTCTTGACTTGAGTAGTTTAGATGTTTGTGCTTTTACTACTAGTGGGGATTTTTTATTTTTACTTTTTCTTCTTCGCTATTTAATTTCTTCTTCGCTATTAAATTTAGTTTTATTGAATTGTGGTGAGAAAACCTGCACCATTTATGTTTTCTTAGAATTGACTGAGACTTTATTTGTTGTCCAATTTTTGCAAAATATATGGGCACTTGAAAAGAAATTGCTATTAATTATATTAATCAGATCTAGTGTTTTTTTTTTTTGTCTATTGTTGTTAGTCTATGGAAGTCATTAGTGACTAAGAGAAGTGTTTTAAAGTCTCCGCTTACTATTGTGTTTCAAATACTTTATCCTTTCATTTCCTGCAACTTTTGCTTTTTATCTGTTTTGATGCTATATTGTTTGATGTATAAAGATGAATGAAACATGCATTTTCATTATGAAGTTTATACCTCAGCATTATAATGCTTTCCCACCTGAATTCAACTGTGTCTAATACTCATATTGCAAACCCTGCTTTCTTTTTATTTGTGGCTGCCTGATGTGTCGTGGGCCATTCTTTTACTTTCACATTTTGTCCCTAAGAGTAAATAGATGACTTTAGTTTTTGATCCCGTTTGCACTGGTTTTTGTAATAGCTCTATTTCATTTCAACTTTGTAATTCTGTGTAGTAATTTTTGGGTTTCTTGTTTCTTGATTTGGTGTTCTTTCTTTCACTGTATATTTTGGCTTGGTTTTGATTGTTTATTGTCCTGGGAGGCAAATGGAAGATACATAGACTGTTTTAATTTCCAACTAATGTCTACCTTTACAACTTTAAACAGTATTCTTAAATCTTTCTCCATTTATCAATTTACCAAATTAAACATTATGAGGAAATTAGAACTCTTTCATTTCTTTTTCTTTCTTCACTCTTTTTCTTCCTAATTTTAATTGGTATATTCTGGTGTATTTAATTGAGATACATACATATATATCTATACACACACACATATATATATATATATCTCAGTATCCTTATCTCTTGTCATTATGTTATTATTTTTGCACAAAAAACATTTATGTTCTCTTTGTAATCGCAAGTTTTGTTAAATTTTTTAATTTTCTCATTAAAAATTGAAAAGTGTTTGCATATAGATTTACATTCTATTTTGAATAACAACCACCATAGTTCTTTACCTTTATTTATGTGGATTCAGTGTTCATCTCTAATCCTGTAGAACAATGGCTTTCTTATTTTCTATCCTCTCTGAGCTCCTTAGATTGCTTCATTAAGACTTTTCTGATTCACATGTAAGAGCAATATGTCCCTTTAGTCCTTGCACACTTGCAAATGTCTTTTAATTTTTCCCATTCAGAGAGACTTGTCCTATCTACTTAGCTGCGGGCAGTGGTCTTTATTTCTAAAGTTCAATAAATTTGCCAAGATATACCTTCCTGTTTTGATCATTTTTCATGTGATGAATTTGGTGAACCTGTTTTTTTTTTTTTTAAGATTTTATTTATTTATTTGTCAGAGAGAGAGAGCACAAGCAGGGGAAATGGGAGGCAGAGGGAGAAACAGACTCCCTGCTGAGCCAGGAGCCTGATGCCGGACTCCATCCTAGGAGCTGGGATCATGACCTGAGCCAAAGGCAGCTGCTTAACCGACTCATCCTTTGGTCAGCCTGTTTGATGGGAAGTGTGATGGTTAATTTTACGTGTCAGCTTATCTGGGCTAAGGATGCCCAGATAGCTGGTAAAACATTATGTCTAGGTGTGTATATGAGGTTTTTCTGGATGAGATTAGCATTTAAATCAGTTGACTGGGTAAAGAAGATTGCCCTTACCAATGCCAGTGGGCGGCACTCAATCTGTTGAGGAGCTCAAGAGAACAAAAATGTGGAAGATGGGCAGATTTGCTCTTTGCTTGATCTGGGACATCCACTTTCTCCTGCCTTTGGACCTCAATGCTCTTGGTTTGGTGGTCTTCAGACTTAGACTGGGACTTAACGCCCTTGGTGCCCTGATTCTCAGGCCTTTGGACACAGACTGAACTCTACCACCAGCTTTCTTGGGTCTCCAGCTTGCAGACAGCAGGACTTCTCAGCCTTTGTAACCACGTGGGCCAATTCCTATAATAACTCTCACATATATATCCCTATAGATCATATTGGCTGTTTCTCTGGGAGCCTAATACAGGCAGATGCAGTTTTTGCACGTCAAGAAAGTTTTTTTCTATTATCTTTTGAATATATCTCTCTGCTCCTTTGATATGTTCTCTGTTTTAGGACATCGGTTATTTGAGTATGGATCTCTGCTGTCTGCCCTTCATATCTTCATCATGCCTCTTATCTTTTTAGTCTTGTTTCTTTCTGTATTCTGTTTGACTTTCTCAAATCTCTTCTCCATGTCTCTGACTCAGTTTTCTACAAAGCCAAATTCTCTCCTCCTTGTTTGTAATGGATCGATTCATTCTGCATTCTGATTTATTTTGCCCTCAATTTCTTATTTTCCCAGTTCTCTTTTCATATTATTCTTGTGTTTTATCATCTCACTGTTGATCTTGAGTTTCATGAAGATCCTGTTTTAGTTAATATCCTTGAGAATGTTTATATTTCTAACAATGCTATCATGTAAGCTGAGACCTATAGGATAAGAAAGTGTTCTCTGGGTGAAAGGTAGGGGCTTAGGAGAAATAGCCTGGTAAAGACACAGGTGAAAGAAAGCTTGGGACATGAATGAAACATACAGATGGAGTGATGGTTGCTTATATAACTGGAAAATGGTGAGTGAGGGATGTAGTAGCACAATTTGGGGCTTGAGAGGTAAACAGGAGACAGATGGTGCTGGGCCCTATAGCTCATGTTAAGGAGTTTTTAAGTCCAACAGAAAACCAGTGAATGGTTTTAAGGAAGGGGACATGATCTAATGTACATTTTTAAAAATTCACTCTTACTGACCATTGAGGATGGACTGGAGAGGGACGTGAGGAATGATGGGAGCAGTTGGGACACAGACACAGGTGAGGGTTATTCTAGAGTGATAACAGGGAATGGAGGAAAGTAGATTCAAAAGAGATCTCAGTGGCAGCATCAGTAGGACTTAGTAATGGATTGATGGGGCAGTAAAGGGTTGAAGTGAATGTGAGAACACACGTAGGAAAAGATTTTAGAAGTTGAAAAGCAAAAAGTCTCATCCTGATAGATGAGGGGAAATACTTGATTGGAAGAACGACTGATGAACACTGTTTGGGGAATATTAATATGTCAACAATGTTCTGGGGCGTCTGGGCAGCCCATTCGCTTAAGCTCCGACTCGATTTTGGCTCAGGTTGTGGTCTCATGGTCATGCGATCAAGCCTCTGTGGAGCCTGCTTAAGATTCTCTTTCTCCTGGGACACCTGGGAGGCTCAGTCGGTTAAGTGGCTGCCTTTGGCTCAGGTCATGATCTCAGGGTCCCGAGATCAAGTCCCACGTGGGGCTCCTTGCTCAGCGGGGAGCCTGCTTCTTCCTGTACTTGCCACTCCCACTGCTTGCTCAGTTTCTCTCTCTCTCTGACAAATAAATACATAAAATCTTAAAGAAAAAAATTCTCTCCCTTTGCCCACCCTCCCCCCAAAAAATGTCAACAGTGTTCAGATGGAAGACGAAAAAGGAAAAAGAGCAACCAGGCTCTACATTAGAAACACAGCAGTGAGGACATCAAAGAGGGAACAAATAGAAGAGACTCGAAGGAAGGTGTTTTGGAGCTTGGCACCAAATCGGATGTAGGCAAGGTGATGTTATAATAGACAGAAATGGAGAAACTAAGAAATAAGGGAAGATGGAAGGTTGGATGGGGGACTGTGTAACCTGTTTAGTTGAAAACATATGCAGTTATCTTGAAAGCAAACACTGACTGTTGACCCCAGTGGTGTGCACAGTTTACCAAAAGTTAAATTTCATGATGTGTTTTTTTACATTGACTAAGCAAAACACTAGCTGCATAATAAGCTACTGCAACATTGCTCCTTAAAATGCTTGTGCTCATGATCCTTCTCCATTCACAGGTTCTCTCCTCTTCCAATCCTACCCACCTGACATGAAACAGGGAAGCTGACTGCATCTTCAGTCTTACACTAAGTGTTTTTAGGTTACATTTATCAAAAACGTACACCCAGTGCTGGCTAAATGGCCTGTCCTATATTTAAATCCCTAAAGAATCAATAAACATGTTGTCTAAGTCTGTTTATGCTAAATGTTTGTTCCCTTTATCTCCGTTGCTTCCTCCAATTCAAGCAGCAGTATCATCATGTGGAGGAAGATAACAAAGTAACCATCACATCTACAAAACCAGATTGTAAAGTCTTTAAGTCTTTTTCCTTGGCATTAGCTAGTTAGAGTGGCTGCATTCCTTGTGTACATTCCTTGTGGCTGGTTGATAGCCCAGCCTAGTTCTAGGAGGGAAACCACCGCAGGGTCCCTGTAGCTCCCTCTTATTCCCTGGCTCCCCTTCAGGTTATCACAAAGGTCCCACTGCCTTCACCCTCTCTGAGAATCTGTCAGTTCTGCTTCCTGATTCCACAGTCTCTGTTCCCTCTCTGTCACCCTACCTGTTTTGGACGTTTAGGCCCTGCTTTTTTCCTGGGCTGGCTCTTTCCTAAGGTACAAACTCAAGTAGTCCCTCCCCCACCACACACACACACACACACACACACTTCAGAAGTCCTGCTTGTACCAAGTCCCAGGCTCCCACTTGCCTAGAGGTGACAGGAACAAACCAGGATAGACAAGCAAGGTAACAGCCACGCAGATTCCGGAGTTCTCGGGTGATTCTCATTTTTAGTATTGATCGTGGTCTATTGAGTTAAAAGAGTTTTACAGGTGTTTGAAGCGCATCCTCACATCCATCTCTAAGTCTCTTGATTCAAAATCATAGTTAGAAATAGTTAAGCGAGTTCGAGTCTCTTGGTGATGTAGACTGATGAATTCGCAAGGGCATGGTCTGCTCTGATACAGGTGTGTTGCATTGAAGACTCAAATCCCACAGGAGGAATTGCTGTCAACAATATGATTTTCTGAAATAGTGAAGAACTCATGATAAAATGCCCAAAGACACAAAATGCAGTCTTCCCTCAATTTACATCGTTGCATTTCTGGAAAATTCAGCATACATGGAAACCATGCAAAAGGTATTTTGTGCTTTTATGGTGAACAGAATTAGGTTCTACGATTGAATGATAATGTGCAGTGGGAGATTTCAAAGTCATACTGCAGGCAGGATGATGCTTTGTTGTGGAGGACTGTCCCATTCATTGCAGGGTATTAACCAAATAGCTGCCAGTGGTGCCCAGCAGTCACTGTGACAACCAAAAACTACCACTGCAAATTTCAAAAATTCCCCCTAGGGGGTGGTACAACTCCCTTGAGAACTACTGTTTAAATAAACTGAGTCTTCTTTTAGGATTCCTTTAAAAGGTACCAGGATAGACGAGCATCAAATGAGTTAATACTTAACAGAGTTTAGAACAATGTTTGGCATGTTGCAAGCTCTGTGCATGTATTTATTATATACATAAACAAATACAGTCAATGACAATCAAAACATGCCCACTTTTTTTTTTTACATTAGCGAACAGACAGTTATGAGGGCTGAGCTTATGTGACCTGATTATCTTTTCTTAATGTGAAATCTACACAACTTATAGTGGGTCATCATTTGTGTAAAAAGGGAGGAAGAATAATCTGTATATTTTATCTATTTATTTATTTACTTATTTATTTATGTGAGAGAGAGCATGAGCAAGAGTAGGGGGGATGGAGAGTCTTAAGCAGACTCCGATTTGGGTGCAAAGCCCGATGCGGGGCTCAATCCCACTACCCCAAGACCACTACCTGAGCTGAAACCAAGAGTCGGACACTTAAATGACTGTGACACCCAGGCACCCCTCTGTATTTACTTTTATAAACAAGGATACATAAGAAATTAGGAACATCGTTTGCCCCTGAGGTGGGGAACTGGATGCCCGAGGAAGACTTTTCATTGTACGCACTTGGAAATTTTTGTATTTTGAACAAAGTGATTGAAATGTTTAATTCAAAACAAATAATAATTACATATTTTTAAAATGTGTACAGTTTAATATATTTCAGGAATAACAAGATTCTGTGTAGTAATGAGATACAAATTAGGGGTTCACACAAATGACTGCGTTATTTAGTTTTTATAACCAAACCACCTTTTTATAGTTTTATTTTTCTTACTTAGTCCTCCATTTTCTCTTATTAAAATCAGTGTCACCAATATTCCCTGATACCATATGCTTTCATTTTCATTAAACTAGAAATACATTTATGTCATTGACATTCAAACCCAAGTCAGTCCTCCAATCCCTAGGTGCCTGGGACTTGAGAAGTTTGTAGACAGTGAAAACTCTGCCTACTCATCCCAGCTCGGTGGACCTTCCTAGATAGTAGGACCGTGGTCGTCATGGCGCCAGGAGGTGGGAGAGAGAGGCTGGCGGGACATAGGAGAAGTAGAAGGCATAGCAGACAAGGATTCATGAATCTGGAATTTCAGAGCCACAGACTCAAGTTTGGAAGGAAGTTTTAGAGATGACCCTCCTCCCGTCTCTTCTGTGGTCCTTCCATCTTTACCCTCTTTCGTCTCTCCCTCCCTCCTTCTTTAACAGATGGTGACACAGAGGTTCAAAGAGAACTTCTTTCTCCAAGATCACGCAGGGTGGGAGTGGCTGAACCAGAATTCAGACCCCAGTCTTCCTTCTCATCAAAAGGATGCAGGTACAAGAGGCTCTTTCTCTGTCTTCTTTGTCTTTCTCAGCATCTGGTTTTATCCCCCTCCCAGTGTGGATGGCAGGGAGAGAAAGGTAGGTGAATAAGTTGGGCAGGGAAGATTTTCTGTCCTGCATCAAAGTTTTAAAAACTCTTAAGGGTGGCATCTAAAGGACTGTAATTCTCAAGTTGAGGTAAAAACCCTTCTTTGCATGGTCAGGGTCCTTGCAGCAAAGAGTGAAATTGAAACTGATAGCCCTGTACCAAATTCATCACAGATTTGGGAGGACCATTTGCTTCCCTTTCTGGTAGGGGGAGTGGAGACATCAGAAATTATCCCACCTTACCTGAGGCTTTTTTTTTTCTGTCTCCTTCCTTTCTCTACAAAAAACATAAGATGATTAAAAAGATTCCCATATCTACTTTCAAATTATGTCAGAAAAGTAGATTAAAGATTTTATGCTTAGGAAAACGGGGATAAATATTCAAACATAAATTATGGCAGTATTAATAATTGCACATTTGTGCTAAGTAACTAGAAAATTATTTGAGCATTAATTCCATTTACATATGTTCATTCAGATTTGTATCCCTGAAGCATGCAAGTATTTGGGGTTTGAAACATTTAATCACTTAGTAAGCAGCCCTCAATGGGATTGCCATTTATTTATTGTCTTTATTGATTTTCCTGCACAGGAGAAAAAAGCTGGCAGTGAATAGAAGCCGGCTGCTGAAGGGAAAGAACTCTATCTTTTCTAGCGCAGAACAAAAGCTCCTGTTTTTTGTTTTTTTTTTAAAGAGCAACCTGTTTTCTTCAGATCATCCCAGCCCAGGGCCAGAATGAGGCTTCATTCATTTGTTAGGAACTCTGCTCCCCACAGTGTGGATTTTTATTGTTTCTAGACAGACACATCGCATAGCACTTGGTTTTCTGTTCAGGTTGAATTTTCTGAGTAAGTTCTTATCTGGACCATGGTGGAGAGTCCAGGCTCCCAGAAGTACATTTCTTATTTGATACGTGAGACTCCCCCCTCCCAACGGGATACCTGGAAAAATGAGCCTGGTTCATCGGTCTAGACATATCATCTTCCTTAATCAGTCTTCAGAGAGATCTCCCTGGTGACTTCATTGTAATGGTTTCAATAACAAGAGGACCTGAACTCAGCGCAGCCGTCCTAAGAGCAAGAAGGACCCTGAGGCCTGAGAATACTTGTCGGAACTGTTCGGGGTTCCTCAAAACCTGACGCAGACCAGCCTCAGTGAAAAAAAGAAAGATGGAAACATTCAAGGACGACTGCTCAGGTTGGTGGAGCATAACCACCACCCTGAGAATGTCAGCCACACCTTGTGACTTCCTTCCAGGAGGACAGTATGGAAGGAGCTGGAAAGTAACCACACGGTGGAGGGACTTGGCAACAGGGGTGGCCAGGGTGAGCACTGAGAAGGAAAATGCCCTTGACATTCAGAGGCTGGTCTGGCTCCCACAGCTAGACCGCGTTAGTCTCTGACAAGACGCCATGTCACAGAAAATCAAACCCAAAGCTCTCCTGAGACCATGATAAGATGAGACAAAGCAAGGCCACTTTATACTGTTGTCTAAGTGCAGACAGAACCGAGGTCGCTATGCCCCCCACAGAATAGCAAACACTCCCCCTTCAGCCCCCAGGAGTGACTGCCCGTCTTTCCCAGGATAGCTTTCCCCTGTGCTGGCCTCGCCTGCCCACCATAAGATTTAGAGAACTGCATCTGTCCATGTGTAGCTAGATAAATATAGATAAGGGTCAACACGCCTCCGGCTAGAGATTTACTGTGTCCATCTTAGGAAGAGGAGAAGAAAGACCATAAAAAGAAATAGCTGGTTCAAAATCCAAAGTCTGATTTTTATGGATGTGAGGTGTCCGGGCTGCTGCCGGATCAGCACGGTTTGCAGCTATGCTCGGACAGCTAGAGCTTCTTTGTGCAAGATTTCAACAGTGCTGGGCAGACCTACGGGAGGACGAGCCCAGCTCCACCAGGAATGTGCCCTTAGAGGGAAGCAGCACTGGCCATCACACACCTTCCTGACTGGGTGTTTTGTCACCGAGAGGTGTATCCATTCAGTAATTCTAGTTAATCTAACCAGATCATGTGATTATGTTTTATTTTGTACGGTATACATCTGTGGTCTCCTCTTTGGTATCAGTTGTTCACAAGAATGTGATTACTGGAAGGGGTGGGTAGGGGGGACTTGTGCTAGTCTCCTCTTCCTATAGATAAGATTTATTGAGATACCAATCATAAAACTGCCCCGATTTCTGACAGCAATCGAAAGGAAACCCCCGATTCCTTAGACCCGCCTCCAAATCACCCAACCAAAGCCCAAAGCCTATCATAGGTTGTTTCTAACACCCTCATGGTGTGTGTTCTTCCTCACCACAGGGGGTGATGGGCACAACTCGTTTAACTCCAGGTGTGTTCTTGGTGGTCTCTGATGAAGGACATTCACAACCTTGTCAGTGATAAATCATGCACCCTTGATATCATGCCATGAGAATGGTGCTTCACCTACCTCTGTGGTCTTCCTCCCAAAGCCCATTACCTCAGTCCAACCACAAGAAAAGGCTCAGACAGACCAACACCGAGGGACATATTACAAAATTCCTGACCAGTACTCCTCAACACTCCCGAGGCCAGTAAAAACAAGGGGGGTCTGGGAAAGTGTCACAGCCCAGAGAGGTCTAAGGAGACCTGAAGACTAATGTAATGTGGCATCCCAGATGAGATCCTGGAACAGAGAAGGGACATTAGGGGCAAACTAATGAAATTGAAAAGAGAAGTCAACAACGACAGTGACAAACATTTTAAGAGGTAGAGTTGGCTTTAGGGCACAATTAAATGATGTTGATGATGTTATGTCTCTCCATCTCCTATTTCTCTGTGTTGGCTGGTCCTCAGCAGATTTGTCCTACATGGAGCAATGAGGCCACTGCAGCGCCGGCCCATGGGGTCCTATGGGCTTGAGAACCCAGGGAGTAGGTTCTCCAGTTGACCCATCCTCTCCTTGTGCTGTGAGCAGCCAGCTGGTTCATATGCTGCTTCCTGGACTAGGATTCAGAGGTCAGCTCCACTCAAACCCCATAGACCCAACAAGATTATTAGTGATTGAGGGAGAGCTGGTTTCCCAGCAGAAGGGATATTTACAGGCAAATACATGTACCCCATAGACTAACCCTACCTTCTGACTCAGCAAGAATGCTTTGAGAGGCATCTCTCACACCCAACCCCTAGCCCACTGAGGCAAGGGGCAGGAAGGGCAATGGCCTTGGAAAAGCCACATCCGCATCACCCCTGCCCCCATTCCCTAGTTTGTGAAATGGGAGTATATCTAGCCACACGGGACCAATGGGAAGATTGAATGAGATCTCATTTTTCTGAGTGCCTAGGACACAGTAATGCTCGGCGAGTGCTAGTTAATCTGAGCCTTTCTTATTCAAAGAATTAACACGAGCAATTCTACCTCTGTATTCGTCAAGCAGTTATCATCAGGAGACCATGCTAGTGCATTTATAGAACTGCATTTCTGCCACGAGTAATAATGAAGAATCTTTTATGCTATTAACCTGTGTAAATTTTAGATTTTTTAAAAATGGGAAGTCATATAGGTCACTCTGTTGTACCTGTAGCTAATTGCAGCATTAGCTATCAATTTCTCATTGTTGGCTAATTTATCTTCAAAGACTCAAGAATGCAATTTGAGTAATTACTACCTGTATGCCATATTTCATTTATGGCATCTATGAGTCATGAATCTTTCTCTAGCTGAAAACATTGAATGCAGTTAATTCAAGAGGTCTGCCACATATGTTGTAGAACCAAACTTAATGCAAATTACATAAATGTGTGTTGTATTTTATGACTGCGTCCTGGAGTTCTCACATGGAATACGGCGTCTCCTAGTAACCCTGGTGGAGGGGGGTGGGGAAGGAAGAGAACTGTGTTCTTCGTTCTTCACATTAATGAAGGTTTCATTAATTTTTTTTCTTAAACTGGAGCTAGAAACCCTTGAAATATCTTTGCAATGCATTTCTCAATGTTTTTGAACTACTGAATTATATAAACACACCTTGCTTCTATTTGATTTTGATTGCTTTCTTGGCCTAGTTTCCCTGCAAGCATTTGGTATGATTGAATAATTTTTAGTTGTGTTTTCTCGCGTGCCTATGCTAATCTACTAACAGTTGGTTATTGAAGCATTGCTACAATCTACTGTCTTTATCTTTTGCCGGATTTTTAAAGGGGTATTTTATTGCCTGTCATTACCATTCACAGTAGCTTCTGGGCACTGTCATTCTACCAGCCCCCCCTTGTATTCCAGCGCGCTACTCGCTGGGCCCTCTGTTCTTAGAGAGAGAGTCTCGGCGCCTTCCCCAAGAGCCACATCATTATTCCTCCAGCAGCTCTGCTTTTTGGCACACTTTTGATTTTTCATTTTAGACGAGTTGTTAAAGTTTCAATATGAAAGATAATGCCATTTAAGATGAGGATAAACTCCTTGATGCCTGTGATGATTTAATTTGCACAGAACATTCCCAAGCCTTTTCTGAGGCTGCAGCATGGCCAATAATGTCACATCCTGCATATGGGTGGCTTTGTGGCACCTTAGACATTCTCTGGTAACAGGATCCAGAGGCTCAGGGACCAAATCTGCCTCCTCACCCATCAAAGAGGGTGACAGTGTCCTTTTGCAGAGCATGTATTGAAATCTTTACACACAAGATGTCTTAATTTGGGTCCTCATGGTATACTTGGACACAGCTGAATGGATGATCAGGGCCACCAGATTCAGGCAGCCCACCTGCCTGGGCCTCGGTCAGATAGGCTTTGCTGCCCAGGAGACACAGGCAGAGACCTTCCATTCAGATGAGTTCCACAGACGTTTGCTGACCACCTACTATGCAGCAGCTGCCAACCACAGAGTTGGCTGTGGCACAGAAATAAAAGAATAAGGAACTGACAGCCTAATCTATTTGCTTGGAAGTTAGCATTTCTGTCCTCGTTTATTTATTCATTCAACAAACATCTGTTGGGTGCTGGCAATAGGTCAGGCATTGTGCTAGGTGTTATGGATACAGTGGTGAGCAAGGCACATGAGATATTGTCCCTGCTATCATGGAATTAATCGTCTAGCCTTATTTCCAGATTAGGAAAAGACATAGTGAACACAAGTTTAATTTACAGCACAAACCATGTAGCCAGCATGTAGTCGTAAAGAGTATCTTACTGCGGAAGAATCAAAATGGCCCCTCCACACCTCTGATAGCCTGGTGACCATGACACCCTTCCTGCTGCTTCAGTGTCTCTCCCTCATTTACAGAATATACTTGGCTTTCTTTTTACATCGCATCAAGTAGGGAAAGTGTTGAACTACTATTTTGCTGCTGTATCTTAGGAGGGTAACTGTCTGTGGTTTTATTGTGACCAAGTATTGCTCACTACATGAATGGACAGGAGACCAAACACTTTTCCCAATTGTTTGAAGGTAGAATGAAAAGTCAGCGAAGAGATTTTCCAGAACTCATGTAAATTAGTTATTTTACATGACTGTTAGGTTGCACTCCAGATTAATTTGGTGTGCAGATTTTTTAACCAAAATTGGCATTTTATTATAAGTGACACTCTTTAAAGGATGAAGTGCGTATGATTTGAAGCAGAAGTAATTCACTGGAGTAGTTTATATTGTTGCTTCCTCAAAAGGGGGCAGACCACCCGCCCCAGGGACTTTAGCAATGTCTGGAGACATTTTTGGTTGTCACAGCTGAGAGAACCAGGTGCTCCTGGCATCCGGGGGGGTAGAGACCAGGGATGCTGCTAAACATCCTATGAGGCAGACAGAGGACCCCACAACAAAGAATGCTCTGGCCCCAAAAGTCACTAGTTCCAAGGTTGAGAAACTCTCTTTAAAAAAATGATCCAACTGGAGAGAGAGCGCTATGTGTGATGTGCAGGTAAAGTTGCCAAAATGAGAGGAATTTTGTGAAAGCAAGTCCGGCTTTCTCCTCCTCCTCTCTGATTATCTTCTTTGTCTATTTACCCATCATTTAGTTCCCTTGTGCTGCAAAGCTTTTTGTGGGTTTTTTTTTTTATGGACTCAATACTTAACTATATGAGCTTTTCATTACCCATTCTAAAATCGTGACTGGTTGTAATGTAAATTGTATAACACATCTTTCTGCAGCTTTAGATTCTGCAACTTAAACCTCATGGCTGCTTATCTGTCTTCCACCACCTACCTGTGTTTTATGTAATGCACTTGGCATTCTTGATTGTTCCTTTCATATTAATTTCAATGGTGCCTGGAGGGTACCTCTCACCATATAATAGGTTGCTTTGTGAACAATTCCAGTAAGAGAACCATTCTGCCCAAGCAGTGAGATACTCTGGAATGTAAAAAAGATACCCCTCAGTGTATCATTCACATTTCTAGTGTACCACGGTATTCTGCAATTGTATTGAAATTAAAATGAAGATAAATTATTTGTTTCCCTTCTCACTTTAAAGTGCCCCCACCGTTGCAGGTAATACTACTCAGCCATACAAAATGGTTAGAACTTGAAAGTTACCAGTTGGACATGGATGAATATTTATCTTGTACTTAAATTTGCAAATCATTAAGTATCCCTTGTCCTGAGATCATTATTTTCATCATAATGGACTTCTGTTACATTCACGCTGTTCCAGCTTTTGATTGACCGTTTGGAATATGACAGTTGTTTGTCGCATTTCATTTGGCTGCAGCTTCCCTTCATTCATTTGCAATTGTCCCTCGAGCATAGTTTTCTTTATGTGAGGTCTAAAGAAGCTTGCCACAGTCTTTTCAGAAACCTTTGTCCTGATGGGAAAACTAAAAAGATTTTCTGAAAATGGTGATCTTTCTTTTTTAATGGAACACCTTCGGTTGGCAGAGAAAATGGGATGTTTCAGACTTCCAAAGATGCTGGATTTGAGCTGCTCCCTTCAAAATCAAGTCTTACAACATGAGAGCCCACTGACGTCATTGTCCTCCTATCAGTGGATTAAGAAAAGGCACCACGAAAAACTAGTTTAAAATCAACAGTTGTGTTTTTAACTTGAGTCTTTATTTGTGGAAAGTCTCTAGTACCATCCGACTCTGTAGTCCCTAAGTTTAAGCCTTTACAATGAATTTTAACCCTTGTGGCATTGTTGACCCCTAACCTCCTGGCTGCCCAACATCCATCCCACCAAGTATTCAAGCACTGCTGATGCTTCCTCTGCCCCACTCTAGGTCTGGCACACCGACCCTGGGCTGGCTGCTGCCCTTCCTCTTCCATCCTTGCCCCAGGTCCTAATTCCTCCCACACTCATGAGGACTTCAGTGGTCATCTCAAAGCTTGGCTGGCTTCACCTCTTACACAACTCTGGCAAAGCCAACCAGACTCCCTAGCTCGTCTGCTCAGGCCTTCTAGGGTTGGGCGCTAAGATTCTCTCCTACTTATTTCATTTACTCCTTGCCAAATACTTGCCTCCAGGTGAGCACCTGTAATCCCTGTCCTACAAAAATGCCTTTCCTGTTCTTATCAGTGTCTCTCACCAGCAATGGATCATTCTTTATAAAAATCTTGTGGAAATTCAAATGTAACATTCCTGAGCCTTTGCTGATCACCCTAGTTGGAAGGAAAGCCTCCTCCTCTGAAATGTATGGATCACTTGTTCATTTACTAGTTGCTTCACTGAGTTCAGGTCTCCCCTCCAATGGCCTTGCCTCAGAGAGGCTTCCCCTTTTCAAA